AAAAAAAATTGAGGTATAATTTACATACCATAAAATTCATCTATTCCAAGTGTACAATTCAATGGTTTTTAGTATGTTTAGAGTTGTAAACCCATGACCACAATCTAAATTTAGAGCATTTCCATCACCCCAAAAAGAAACCCATACCCATTTGCAGTCACTCCACACCCAGCCCTCGGTAACAACTACTCTACTTTCTTTATCTACAGATTTTCCTATTCTCGACTTTCATTAAAATGAAATCATACAGTATGTCATCTTTTGTGTCCAGCTTCATTCACTCGGCATACTGTTTTCAAGGTTCCTCCACGTGGCAGCACGTATCACTACTTCACTCCTGTTTATGGTCGAATAACATTCCATTGTGTGGATGTGCCACGTTTTGTTGCTGGATATTTGGTTTGTTTCCACTTTTTGGCTATTATGAATAATGCTGCTATGAACATGCATGTACATGTGTCTGTGTGGACATATGTTTTCAGTTCTCTGTGGCGTATATTGAGGAGCGGAATTGCTGGGTCATGTGGCAACTCCATGCCGAGACAGGTTTTTAAAGCAAGAACCATGGCTGGTGGCAGACCCCCGGTAGCTTTCGGCCCAGCTTTGCTGCATGCTGAAGGTGGAGAAGCTGCTGGAGGGGGAGGCACAGGCTTTCTAGGGAAACCAACCAAGGCCCAGCTCAGAGGAGGAAACAGGCTTTTACGCTGTGTTCCAGGGGCCGCAGGTGCCAGCATCTTGGGGAAGCAGGTCTGAGAGTGGCTTGAAGAACTTTGCACAGAAGACTAGGTTCGGGCAAGGGGCAGGAGCGGGTCGGAGCTGGGTCACAGTTGGGTAGGGCGGTACTTGCAGGAATTTGAGAAGAAAGGTAGAGAAGGAGATAGCGAATAGAGCAAAGTGGGGAAGAACTCAACGAGCCTTCGGCTAAGAGGGCACATGCCGGGGAGAGGCTGAGGCTGAGGCGAGGCTGGGAAGAGGCTGGGAAACTGTGAAAGCCATTTATCTGCCCTGATGCCTTTGAGATAAAGGGGTCTCCCAAACTGCCCAGGGTGGTTAGACAGGTCCCCAAGAAACCAGGAAAGAAACCCTAACCTTCTGTCTAAATACCCCCTCCTTTTTCCTGCCTGACAAAACACATACCTGTACACTCTGCCAGCCAAGTGGCTTTGTGTTCTCTTTGACCAATTTCCTGCTCTCCTAAGGAAGGTCAAGTCCTGATTCTTCTGGCCCTGATTGTACCCTTCTCCTTATTGGTCTGCATATAGTGGCCTCCTTCAAGATCTCTGTCTATGCTAGGAGCCAGAAAAGAGAAAGAGGGAGGGGGAAGGAGGGAAGGAGGGGTGAGGGGGAGAGAGAGAGAGAGAGAGAGAGTGTGTGTGTGTGTGTTAAATGTTGCAATGCTTAATGATTATGCCTACGTAGTGAATTCTTTGGGCTCCTATTCTCCCCTGAACCCATTTAACCTCTAAGGTTTTCCATACCCAGTCCCTCCAATGCATGTCCTTATGGAGGCATCCAGGCACCCTATTCAGCCCTGGCCCTCAGTCTAGGCCAAGCAATAGGCAGGACTGAGCAGGAATCCTAGAGAAAGAAGCGCTGCCTGACTCTCCTCTCCTCCCACTCCCCTGCAACAGCTGGCCCTTTCCCCGTTCAGCCAATCCCCAAATGACAAGCACTAGCCTGGTGCACAAGCCAGTAATCACTTAAGCTGAAAAGCACTTGCAGGAGTGTTAGCATTTTAACTGAGACGTGGGGAGGCCCCAAGGAATCAAGCTTTAGAGACTGGGTTCAGGGCTGGTGAAGGTTCTGTTTGTTTGGGGGATGGGGAATCATGATGGGCTGTCCAGCCCTAGCTAGGCGGTGAGTCCCACCTATATACAGGCCACCCCTGTAATATCCCTCCATTTCCACTGAAGTCTGCTTTGCTCTTAAACAAAGGAATGTCTTTGGACATTTTAACTCGGGGATGGGAGGACTGAGGTTCAGAATTTAAACCTGAAATACTGATAAGACCTACTTTCCCCACCTTACTCTACTCCCACCCCTCAGATCCCAGCAGGAAGCCCCAAAGGCCCAGTTTCCTTTCCAGGTGTCAACTCAGGTATAGTCAGCTCATGCCTGTGCCTGGAGAAAATGGGGTATAATTTGAACCCTGCTGAGTTGAAGCTGACTATTCATAAAGCAAGAGGCATTTCAAAAGTATCTGGTTCTAGAGACAAATGTCTGGGTTCAAATCCTCGCTAGGCTTCTTAATAGCTGTGCGAACCTGGCAAGTCTCTTAACTCTCTGCGCCTTAGCTTCCTTCTGCATAAGAGGTAAATAATAACACTACTCTTCGGGGTTGTTGTGAAGATGATATTGATACAAATGAGATACTTTCCTGGCATCCGGTAAGTGCTCAACAACGTTGGTTATTATTGCTACCATTATCATTTTTTTCCTATGAGCTGGTTCCCTGCTGCAGGACCCTTTCTACTACCTGTCAGAGCCCCCCGCTTAGTGAGGAACCCTGAGGATGGGGCAAAGCAAGTGAGGAAGAGATGGCCCAGTTGGATGTGTATCTCTGCCCTTTTCACAAAATCTGGCACACCAACGTGCCATTTAGAATTATCCTCATTCCCTTTCCTGTTCTTTGCACTACACATATTCCTAAAAAGTTCTAGGGAAGGGAGCTTTTGTAAGTCAAAATACTTAAAAAACAAGGAAAAAACAGAAAAACACCTTGATAGATCTCTAATTAAACCTCTAGGCATATCACCTCACACCGGTCAGAATGGTTATCATCAATAAATTAACAAACAACGAGTGTTGGGGAGAAAAGGGAACCCTCGTGCACTCTTAGTGGGACTGTCAATTGGTGTAGCCACTATGAAAAAAGAAGTATGGAGATTTCTCAAGAATTAAAAAAATAAAACTACATATGACCCAGCAATTCCATTCCTGAAGAAATTTATCTGAAGAAATCCAAAACATTAATTCTAAAAAATATGTGCACCCCTATGTTCACTGTAGCATTATTGACAATAGCCAAGACATGGAAGCAATCTAGGCGTCCATCAATAGACAAATGGATACAGAAGAGGTGGTACATATATACAATGGAATATTACTCAGCCATAAAAAAGAACAGACTCTTGCTATTTGCAACAACGTGGATGGACCTAGAAGATATAATGCCAAGTGAAATAAATCAGACAGAGAATGACAAATACCATGTGATTTCACTTTTATGTGAAATCTAAAAAAGTAAAATAAACAAACAAAACAGAAACAAATGCATAGATACAGAGAACAAAGTGATGGTTGTCAGATGGGAGGGGAGTTGGAGGGATGGATGAAAAAGGTGAAAGGGATTAAGAAGTTATAAAAATAGTCACAGGGATGTAACATGCGGCACAATAATATAGTCAATAAGATTGAAATAACTGTGTATGGTGCCAGAGGGTTACTAGACTTATTGGGGTGATCACTTCGCAAGGTATATAAATGTCTAATCACTATGTTGTATACCTGAAACTAATATAAAATTGTATGTCAACTGTAATTGAAAAATAAATTTTAAAAAAACCTCTAGGCAGAAGCAGAATGGATCTTGAGCTTTTTAAGATTTTCTGAATCTCATGTACATCCAATCCTGTACAAAACCCACAGAAACACTAGAGTACGCAAAGAGACTTGCTTCTTAAGAGAATTCTTTGGTTTACGAGAGGCTTTGGTAATGGGATAATCACTCCCTAATTGATAATGATTTGTCAGTTGGGTGGCTTAAACTGGGTGGGGCCCATCCCTATGACACTTGTGCCCCCTCTTCCATCGGCTCTGGAAGCCAGGTGGACAGGAAAACCCACGCTCATGATTACCTCTAGGAGTGAGCCAAAGGGTGAGAGCCCTTGGCCCAGAACAGCCCCCAGAGGTTTCTCTGGGATAGCCCAGCTGTGGTTTTGTTCCCAGGCTGCCTGCCTGCTTGAGCCGGTGCAATCCAGGAAACCATCCAACCCAGAGCTGGGACCAGGGAAATCTCCAGCAGCCTATGCCTTGCAAGTGATCTATCCCCTGCTTTGGGTCTGTTTCCCCCGCTGCCCTAGGAGAGTGATCCTGCTACCTTTCCAAAGGGCTCCTCGGAGGTGGCCCTGTCCAATCTGAGCAGGAGAATGAGGCTCTACAATGGAATCCAAAAGAGGGGGCCATGCCAGGCGCTCCAGAGCCCTGCGGTGTGTAGAGAGGCCAGGGAGGAGTAATATGGGGTGAAGGAGTGGAAGGGACCCTGGCACAGGAACAGAGGATCAATTTACCAAGCAATGGGAAAGACACCCTGCATCTTCCTCCAAGGACTAAGTGGGGAGGCGGTGTGTGTGTCTCAGAGGCAGAAGGAGTCTGCCTCCACGGTCCAATGAAGGAACGAACCCTGGCCCCTCCAGAACCGGAGCACACAGGACCCACAAGCCCCGGGACCACTTCGGGGGGGTGGGGGGAAAGACAGCCTGTGTCAGCTGATCCGGAACTGATGGTGTGAGTGGAACGCGCCCCAGGGCGATCCGTCAGCCTCGGCCTGCTTTGGCACCTCGCAGGGCCTCTGAGGCGACACTCCTACTCTCCTTCCACTTCACTTCCAATTCTGCCTCAGGCAACAGGGGCTCAGGACGAACCTCAGACCCGCTGCGCAGGAGGGAGAGACTCGTCCCTCTGCAAACTCCATCACCCCTCTCCCTGTGGGGTGTGGGTGGGGTCAGAAGGGTGAGGCCTAGGTTTACACCTTCACAGAGGTGAGTGAAGGCCGATAAATCATCCAGAAATCACCTTCAGTCTTGGGAGTTTTCCGGGTAGAGTTGAGGGAGGAGGGGGCGGGGGTGGGGGGGAGGCTGCCTTTGCCTAAGCAGGGGAGACACAGCTAGGGAGCTGAGGGGGGTGGTCGCAGCTCCAGCACCGCGGGGGCAGAGACAAGGGAGGAGGGCAGGGGAGGGCAAGGGAGGGAAGGGTCTGCGCCGCGAGGGCCCGGCACTCACGTCCTCTTGAAGACGCCCCCGAGGGCGCTGCCCAGCAGGAGGCAGAGCTGCTGGGAGAAGAAGACCCAGGAGATCTGGGACAGAGAGCTGTGAGTCTGGCAGCGCAGGTCCAGCAGCGTGGGCCCCAGGAAGGCGATGCACAGGCCGAAGCTGAAGAAGACGCTCCAGTAGGTGAGCGTGGGCTGCAGGTTGCGGCGGAGCAGTCCCGACAAGCGGCCGTCGCAGCCCATGGCCCCGGCTGGCAGACGGACTGGCGGCTGCTGGCCCCGAGCCCG